TGAGTTAAATACGTCTTATATGCACATTTATAAATGCTCTAAAGGCAAATATATAAATAAAGACAAACCCGTCAATATCCTTGTCTTGTTTACACCACTGGAATCGAGTGTAAAGCGGGTATATAAAGTGAAAATAATTTATCGTGAATATATACAAGGTGAAGAGTTGCACTGGAATAAGTTCGATAACCGACTGGTGAAGAATTTCCTCAAAAAATATTAAATATTTGCTATATTGTGATTTTTTTTCAAACTAAGCGCCTTGGGTGTGTACCATTCTTGGAAAGCTGGTGGAATGAAATTTTAATCTTCTGACTAAATTTTACATTTTATCTAAGAAAAGAAGAATGACGGGCATAAGGAAAAGGTATATGCTGTCGAACTGGGGCTTAAGAAAGAAATAGAAGAACAGAATAAAACAAAATATGGAAAACGACTGCAGACTCGACTAAGCGAATGCCAAAAAATGGAAGAAAAGAGTGGACGCTTTTAAAACTTGGGCTTTTTAATCCTTAGGCTTTTTAAATTTTGTCCTGACTCAGGACAAGATAGTAAATAAATTAAAACGATGCGACGCTTCATAACATTTAGTATTCATGCACCCAAAAAGAAGGTCTATAATCAGATAAAGGTCTCTAAAGAGTTTAAAATTAGACACAAAAATTCCCCGTCGGTTGCAAATCGTAAACTAAAGAAGCCATTGTCGGTTGTAAAATTGTCCTGATAGATAATCGACCGCTGAAGTCGATCATATCTTTTTTGGGGAGGAAAATGAATATACATATTTTCCAGATTTAATCAGTTGAAGTTGTAGAAAATCAATAAAGTTTTGCCAAAAATGACTTGTTTTCCAAATCAACACCCTTTTGCAAGTTTGAGCAAATCTAAAATGTCCCAAGACGGAATTTATGTGCATGATTTGATATTTATTTTAAATATCCAGTGTTTCGAACAAACAAACGGCTGAATAAGCGCAATAATTACAACAACTGAACTTTAATGTTATCAGTTGGAGCATCTTACGCTTAAAATGTAAATATGCAATTAACTTATTTGTCGAAATACTCAACTTTTCCAGATTTTTTGACAAATCCCGATGTATTTCCTACGAAAACATCTTAATATAAACACTGACAATAACAGCAATGTAACAATCTACTATTCAATATGTTGAAGCAAATAGAATTGCTCTAGGAAGAAACACATTTCGAAGCATATAAAATTTGCAAAAACTGAAATTTAATCAGCATTACCCAGAAGATTGCTTTATGTTTGATACGGACTTAAACTTTTATCATCGGTATGAACTGTAACAAACGAACTACACAATTTCATGCTTTGATTCGAATTTAAATAGGACTTGACTTCAATGCACTGCATTGCAATATTAAAAAGACGCACAGTGTTATATGTAATAAATTGACTGGAAAATAATGCATAAGTACTTAAGTGAAGCAGAGAAGATGGAATAATAATATAAAATTTTTCTCCATGTAATATATAAATCTTTAGATGAGCCGACTTCCGCAGGGCTATCTACATTTTTGGAGTTTTAACCCCCACAATAATTTTTGCATTAAAAGCTTTGCAATACATTGGATAGCAATTTTAATCGTCGGAACCACACGAATGATTTATGCTTCCTGAAATACCACAGTCATTCTCGTATCAAGTTCAAAAGATTTTAAAATGGGTGGAGTTAGTGGGCTGAATATAGTTTCAAATGACACACCTCTCTGATCTTTTTATCGCGGGAATATCACAAGGCACGCCTTAAATTCAATTGCATTTCAAATATTATAACAAATAGTTAATTTCCAATTTATAATCTAAAAGTTATGATCGGTTTTACGTGATTCTTAAAAATCGGAATCGGTAACTATATTGGCGCCCACTTACATGTAAAATTTAATAGAGCCGTGCTCAAACTGTGCGACTCGTTATGTTGGTACAGGGGCAGAGTTAATTGGCAAGTAAAATTATATTTTAAACTTATAATTAATAAGTTAAAATGTATTCTAGAACTAACAAGAGTTTAACTATTCGAATTTCTTCTGCTCCAAGTCATAAAAACGTAGTTATTGTTTTAATTGAACGTCTTTCGTACTTTTTAAGACGCGACAGCAGAAAATCCGGGTTCACCAAAAATCCAAAACAAGGCTTGGGAAAAAGTAACAAAACTTAACTCGTTTTAAAGAAAAAAATATTTAGTCATAAAATCAATTTTAGTGTGATTTTTCGAGAACAAAATACATGTATCTTCTTTCGCAAAAATATTGTCTAGAATACTCATGCTTCTGAATAACCCTCTATGTCTTTTAACACTACAACTTTGTGATGTTTTTCTGCTGAACATATCAAAGCGATTTTCGTTTATTTTGATTCTCTACAACTGCATTTTTGCACAAAAAATATATTCTTCGAAGACATTTTCTAAATAATTAAGTTTTATTCACGATTTGAACTAGGTACAGACAGAAAAATCAATAGAATTCAAATATATGCTCTTCCTGCTGACAACTCTGAAGAAATGATATTCTACGAAAATTAGATATCAAAAACCCAAATTGAATCACTTGAACCAAGAGATTGGAGATTTTAATGCGAAAATTGGAAAACGGAGATGCAATAATATGTGTCAACGATTTTGCCACGAAAATAAGACTATAATACCTAACACCTAAGCTAAAATAAGCTTCAAAAGCTAGGGCCCTATACATGGAGTATATAAAGGACAGTGAATAAAATCCAATAAAAAATCAAATATATTCCATATTAATCAACGTAAAATACAACGCATTAACGCCGCCTTCGGGGAGCAGATGTTTTACTGGGCCAATCCTGTAACAGCTCAAATACGTAGATATCAATATATTTATAGAATACTAAACAATAAAATAACTTGCAGAAAAACGTTAAAACATAGAAACCAAGTTATACAATTAATGAACTTTAAAACTACGGAAATATAAATGAAAAGTGAAAAAAGAAAGGTGAAATTGCAACAAAGAAGGGATGGATCAACCAACGGCATTATTATCTTAATCTTATGAAGGAGGAAAACCGATGGAAAAGCAATGAACAACAGTACAATCAAACACAACGGCTACTACAAAGGTTGGAGGAGCTAATGAAGAATTTCACATAAATACCCTATATATCGAATATATGTACAATTATAATTGCATAGAATAACCAAAATAGCACTCTGTATACAAACCATCATTCAACAATAATTTTAAATAACTTTGACCTGGATATTCGCAAAGTAAATAAACACTCGGGCAAAAAATTAATATCTTAATTTGCTCTAAAACTGTTTAATGACCCACAATATTTCAGAATAGGAAATAAAATAGTGTAGAACGTATACGGTTTGAAACTGTGTATTTAATTTGATTCAAATATCACTATTTTCGAACCAGGACACACAACTCTATAACATTGGAATGTTTATTTATAATTTTTAAGTCGGAAAATTTTATTTTTTTCTTTTGTATTTTAAAGTATTTTTCTTGTGTTACTATAACGTTTATAAAATGCCTATTTGATATGATAAAGACAATGTATAAAAAGATATGGAGAAACTTGTTTAGTGCCCGCTCACAATAATTCCAGGCTCTAACTGAATTAATACCAATCACTATTTCCCTTTCTTAGTATTTAATTTTAATTTGAAGCTTATAAAATGAATCACTGTTTACCCATTTAGTATTTCTTTGTTGGTGTTAAATGAATCATTTAAAAGTTTATCTTGGCCTTATTTTATTTTAAGAGTGCTCAATTGATTATAGAATTACTCATATGTTTGCGATCTTGTGAATACACGAATCAACCGAAGTAAAATAAGAATAAAATCAAGCGGCAATATGGCACCAATAACGGCAGGCACAAACCTGTGCTTAGTGGCAGGCCTTACTAAAAATTAAATGCGCGTGTACAGATGTTAATAAGACGGCGGCCCTATTAGTGGCATAGCCGCAATGTGTGTTAAGTATCGCGTTATTGTAAATCTAATATAAAGTAAAATAGCTCTGTTAATGTTCATAATTTATATTTGTGAATAAATATTATGATTAAATCAGTTATCTAAATGATAATGAATAAAATACACCTTTTGCCAACTATACATTAGTTGTGTATATTATGTGTCTTGTGTTCTTTTTATTATCATTTTATATTATAAGTATATATTTTATTATTCAAAAATGGGTGTTTCCCTTTAATTTGCAAATCATTAAACATTCTTATGTTCACTTATTTTAGTAGATTATTACCTTAAATTCGAATTATTTCAGCAAATTTAGCCAAAATGAAAATTGTTATAAAATTTCGCTGGAACTTAGGGAACCTTGACTTGCGCTCCAAACCTCAATTTAATCTTCAAAAGTGAACTTTGGCCCCGAATTCGCAGTTTAATTACGGTAAAGTCAAGTAAAATTTCTTAACCCATAGGCATTATAGAATCGAACGATAGTTCACCTCTTAAAAGGGCCGTTCTCCGCTAAGACCGATAATTGTAGGAATAACAACTCAGTGGAGGGCTCCAATCAAATGATGCCACCAATCCAACATCCATAAGCCAGAACAAGTTGCCAAGATTACAGATTCCACAGTTATCTCAACTCCAGCAGGAATAACTTAAACCACAAATATCGTTTCCGTGCCATATGACTAAATTAATTAATTAAATTAATCACTCCGAATTTTACAGTGACAGGCAAAACAGGGAGCAGAATCGCTAACGATTCCCAATTTTCAACTATTCATTGAGAAATTGTGTCAACCTTTTTCTAGTTAGTTCTGACTAACTTTACCTAGTCAAATCATAGTGGCGACAATAAAGTGTTATACAAATATATTTAACATTACATGTTTAACCAAATCACAGTTCTTATACGAGTATTAGCAAATTATAAGTTCCGATTACCATTTGTCTTGTGATATCAATTATATTCAACATTTTGAAACAGAGACCTGATGACTTTTTCGATTTTCAGATTGCACCGCAGCTCACTCCGGAGAAAGCTTGCAGCGGATGCTTCACGCAGATTACCCTCTTCAGGAAACGTATCAAAGAGAAACTAGTAAAACATAAGGTAAAACGGACACAAAACATGAATAATCATGACCCGCAGTGTACTTGCGTGAACTGCTACAACCAATGTAGAGAATTGTGGAATCCGCCCCCATTGCAAGCCTCAGGTAGTCGAGACTTCCAGAATATTTCTGCGATAAACCCACCGCTGGATTTAGAAACATTATTGCCACCAATCCAAACTTCTTATGAGACTCAACAGGAACCCATGCAAACTGAATTTCCCTCTTATGCGTATCAGTGGCAACAGACAAATTTCAATTCGGGTGAGGCGGCTGGATATTTCGCTCAACAACAATCTGCTCAACATAGTCAACAACCCCAAGATGTGTTCTCAAATATTCAAAGCAATATCAATGTTCCTTCAACAAATTTAGATGAGGGTTCAAGTCTTCCAGTGTCGCTTCAAAACTTCGAAAGTCATGGCCTGAGAGATCGAGATCAGCCGTCTACATCGCAAGGGTTTACAGGGCAGTTGGAAGACGAGCCGAATTCCAGGAAAATTAGAAAAGTCTGCTGTCATTGCTCAAAAGAATTTACCCACACTGGAGACTTTAAGAAACACTTGAGAACTCACACAAAGGAGAGGCCGTTTTCGTGTTTGCAGTGCGATAAGTCGTTTCCTCATAGCTCTAATCTGCGAAGACACCAACGTAGCCATATCAACGATCGGCCTTACAAGTGTGAACATTGCGCAAAGGAGTTTAATAGAAAGGACAAACTTGTGAGTCACAGGAAGAGTAAAGCTTGTAAAAGTCGGAGACATGAAGATAGCAAATAAATTTCTATTGATTAATAACATTTGTTTTATTTTCTTGTTTATAACTGATGCATTTCTTTCTCCATTATCGACATGTGTGATGATATTTTTCTATAATTCAACACGAATAAAATTAAACTTACCTGAAGTGAAAAGCTGTAGTAATTGCCACGTCATCCTCAACGACTTTCTTTGGACTCAGTTCTGTTGCTGGGAAAATCTAGATGACTTTTTTTAGTTGTTTGAACAAGGTAGTAAAACGTTACGCAGAAAAAAAATGTTCATAACCTTTTTTTATATGTGAAAATTCCATTCTCAGGCAAAAGCTTTAATAAATCACTTATAACTCATAAACCGATGAGTTAATACACTCATAAAACTCGTTAACTCAGAGAGCGGTAACAACTCATTAGCGCAACTCAACACAATGTTACTCAGGCCTAAAACAGATGGACTTAGTTGCTTCATAAAAATATGAGTCTTACATAAGAACAAAGATTTGAGATTCATACATCCCGATGGTAAAAAAAATGCGAGATTTTTTAAGAACTGTGATCATCAATCAACTTATTTTAATTAAATTGAAAACTAAAAATTATTAGACACTAATTGCATCGAAATAAAAAAAAACTAGATTTTCTAAAGGGTTAACTTGCTACCCACGTTTACTAACTATGTTGTTCATATTGGCCCTTTTATATTTTACATTCCAGTTTTTATCACGTTGTAGAAGTTTAATTCCACGTAAAAAACTTTATTTTGTTAAACATTTAGAAAGATGTCTTCCTAAATGTTGAAGGTCTAGTAGGCACTTTATTTATTATGGTTTTTATGTCAAACTAGATACCATTAAACGATATGGAGGTAGATTACTGTAGAGTTTCGCGATAAAAAATGCATTTTATAATTTAATAATAACTGCAGAATATTTTAAATATATTTTTTACAGTATGCAGTTGAACGCAGCTCTCTTTGAGCACATAAATAAGATCCGTTCCCACCCGAGATCCGTATAGTAAATTTTAAGGATTTAGACCCGGCTCGGTGCACACATTTAAATATCGCCATATGATTTTTTCTCAAATGATTTGCCAAAATATATTCTTTTTGTCGGGAATGTTATATGGCTCATTGCCATCAAGCAGTGAGGCGAATAAATCAATTTAGAATCGCTTTTTGGGAATTTCCAATTGTGGCTGATGCAATCTGAAATTTGCACTCCGGTAACTGGGGTGGCTTGCTTTTCAAGACAAAGTATCTTAGACTCATAAAGTTTTAGTTTGGTTGCACTTTCAGTTTTATTTTGTTATTTAATGATGTCAGACACGGCACCTACAGTTTTAACGTAAACTATGAGTTTTAACTAAAGTGTATTGCGCCAAATTAAGTAATAACTCCAATAACAATGTTGAGACAATTTTAACTTTCTTAATGGAAAAGTTGGTGGACGGGTTAAAATGGGAAAGAATAGTGTGATTTATTACGACCATGAAAGGAAGAAAATAGAGCTTATTTTTCGTGTAAAATAGTAACAATCTAAGAAGATATTAAGAAGCAGTTTCATTACACATTTCAAATACTAAACTTTTAGTAACTATGAGAAAATAATCCAAAGTTAAATTCTACTGCTTTTATCCATAACATTAACAACTAATCACAACAAAGATTAAAAAATACTTCGCCCTTGTTGGATGCACGTTTCCATACGCTTTTCGCAAGATTTAGCATCTGTCGTTCATCCAAATCAACGATAAAGTTTCTGATAGCTTTCATTAATTCATGTAAGTTTCCATTGTTTTTTTCGAAAATTTTGTGTCTTATTACACCCCCCAAAAACAAATCAAGCGGCATAAACTGTAGAGAACGCGCTATTTAGCGTAGTTGTTCTGAATATTGTAAGTCTATTTCAAAAAGATTCTGATCCTAACATAATCTAAAGAAACATTCGTTTTTGATTTTGCAAAATCTGCGTGAATCAAAAATTTAGCAGGGTTGCTTGAATTTTGCTTGAATTGTGGACCAGTTGGAGCTTCTGAATGAAATATCTGACCTCGAATTCTTCAGTTTCTTCCAGTATAAGCTGGAGCTCCTCCGTGGATGGATAGAAATACATTTTCTCTGCTTCAGTAGTGGTTCATTTGATTAAACATTCCTTGAAATGCAACAATGAGGCTCGTGGGTGTAAAAATTATAAAATAAAATCTTCAATTTACACGTTTTGGAAGCAACTCGATCACTAGGAAAAGTGGAATAGTGGACAATATTTTAAACAGATATATAAATATTATGTATAGTGCTGTTTAAGTTCACTGCACAGTTTAAGCTATGGAGAAACCGCCATTGGCGCATCTATAGTCCTGTTTCTTGCATAGAGTCGAGAGAACTCAGTGTTTTTAAATTCAATTTTTCAATTTCATTACCAAAGTAACACTGAACACATAACACATGAAATAATAGGACACTAATTAATGACAAAATTGTATTTTATTTGTTCATGAGGGATATTTTATTTAAACATAAAGTTGACAATTAACTACCACAAATTATACTATATTAACATGTATACTATAACAGATTATTTAGCAAATATATTTGTTAAACTCGTCTATTTTAATATCAAGAATTTGAGGAGTTTATTGGTTTAATTAACTAACAGCTTAACTATGGTATCTATTTGAGATTTGTTTCAGTGTATACAGCACGAAATATCGTGAGTAAACGCAAATTATTTTTTACTTCCGTTTAAAAAATGAAACCACTCAAGTTAAATATTATAGCATATAATTAACGTAAGTAGTATGGTACATATTTGAGAATATTCCAGGCAATCGGAAACTCAGTTCAACATATACAATCGAAAATTTTCATTACACTTTCCAGCTTTGTATCTGAAATACTGATATCAACTATTCAGCAAATAGAAATCGTGATATGGCTATAACGTATTGATTGATTTAGTATATACTTTTTTACTGAGAAACGAAATCTATGATTTGCTAATAATTGTCAACTACCGCTCGCTTAATTTATCTTAATTCTAGAATTAATACAGACTTTAGAAAGTAATTCATCCAACTAAGCGTGTAAGAGTTAAACTATAAAAATATTTCTGCATATACGAATAGGTTTAGTTGTCGTTAGTGATGTCGTTCAAGCCGGTAATATAAGCCGCTGGGACCTGGAATGAAAAAGTCAAACACAATTATTTTATCTTTTTGTTTAAAATTCAAAAGATAAAATGTTAATTCCAGATAATGACCTTAAAGAAAAGCTATGTCTATGGAAATGCTGAAAATTAGGGATTGTGCGGAAATTAAGCATCAGCTATGCAAAAAATGTTAGCAACCAGTCTACTAATTGACCTTATCAAGGAAAATGAGGTTCTAAAAGTTCAGCTAAACGAACAATTTGAGAATCTTGGGAAATCTAGGTTGTTATCACAATGTATTTATCTATGTCAATAGCATAACAGGTTATTCAGGATTACCAAATATATATCGATATCAAGGAGGTAGAGAAATAGTAACTACATATGTTACTCATACCAGAAAGTTGCATAGTTAATGGACGGAACTTTTAAATAAGTGAATATATCGTTTGCAGATATTTATTTTATTCAATCCTCAGGCCATAAAATTATTGAAAAATATTATTTTATAATTGGCAGGCAAATAAAATTGTATATTCTGTTAAAAGCAAAATAAATATTCGGTAAATTGTTTTATGAACTTTTGCTGGATAACCAATAAATTTGTAAAAAAATGTGCCCAGACTCCTTAAAAACAGTTTATTTGGTATCCGCTTTCAGATTGAATTAAACAAACTAGTTAATGGATTTTCAATTAAAGCGGGGGGAACTGCGGCGTTTTCATGTTAACAATTTTTCTTGTTCTCAAAATACTACTGGGATTATTTTTTCCAGACATTAATATATTGGCAAAAGCTAGTGTTCTATCATCGCCATGATAAAATATATGATCGCTAGAAAAGTATTAATTTTGTAATTTTTTCCCGGCTCCACATGATTGCGGTTAGAGACAAGTTGTCTAGGAGTTAATTGGCAATATTGCTCTAGGGACACAGTGCACAAACATTCATCAAGAAGGTTGAAAATTGTTTTTTTTCTATGGAAGACAGTTGTTTGATTCCTACCGCAGTGTTGGTAGAGTTTCAATGGACATTTTCTGATTCACTTGTCTACTGGACATTTTATTACGTCCTTTTTCTAACTAGTAAAAATTGTGGTTTTTAAATGGTTTTGGATAATCGAACTTATACTTACGGGAAATTGAGAGTCCATGCGTTTTCCAAATCGCAAACGTAATTGTGGTGATCGTCCAGCTTTTCTGGAAACTGTGTGATAACCGACTCGGCTATCTTCCAGCCCGTTTTCCTTCTCTCTTTGAATAAGCATCTCGATCAGTTCTCTAATACTACCTGAAAATTAGAAAAAAACAATCAACAATGTTCCAATTTATTGCTATCATTCGAATAATTAATTTTTACACTTTTTCTTGATACCGTCAAAATATGTTTGGTTTTCTCCAAGTGTCTTTATTTTGCTGCTTGCCACTGATCTCATGAGTCTCACTCAGGAAAACTGCGCAATTATTGGGTGTGTTATAGCTACAATATGATGCGTTATCTGAGTTTTCTAGTTGCTTTTCTGAGCTTCTAGTGCGAAGTTTCGACAGTAAGTCTTTTTTTTCTGTTAATCAGTTTTGTTTGCCATACATTCACTTGGCATAAGTAATTTAATTTCCCTACTATTGCCCAGACCAAATTCCCAAAACTGCGCTTTCCATTTGGACTGTTATGTTTACTTTCAATATCTGATATTAAATAATCCTTCAAGTTAAAATTTCTTGTCAGAAAGAACATATAAGAAAAGTTCAATTTTATGTATTTATTATCCTACTATTGTTACACAATTTATTAACATACTCTTTTTTAGGTTCATTTAGGTTCTTTTGCGTTCTCAAACGTCAAGGTAATTTTTCAAATTAATTTCTCTACTAATTGGAATTTTCTCTTACAGCTTGAACCTAAGTGTGTCGCAGGATACCCTCTAGGTG